ATATGTTTCCTCTCACATGAGAAGCATATACCGTGGTAAACACCTCGAGACGCCCCTCTGCAGTCCAAAATGTCAGATTATGAGACGGGATGAGATTCACAGCAGTGAATGTAAAGGTTCATTATACAACCAGATGGGTAGCGCAGTCGCAGCGGTAATAATAATTGGAGTTTAAGCCCTTTTGTTTTGCTGGACGTCCTGCATAACCAGTCAATTCTGGAGGTTAAGTTCTTCCTCATTTTTTGCATTCCTTCTCACATCCCTGTGAGGTGGATCTTGGCCTGGCTCGTGTCTTCTTCCATTTCTCCAAGATATTATATAATGTGCCATCAAGTATGTGTATATTTATCCGTGTGCTTTAGACTTCGGATGTTTGCTCGGTTTCTAAGTAATGTTTTACAGCAGGCTGGGGGTCCTTTTACCATTTAAAGCAAAACAACAAGACTTTATCACAACTACATTACTACATATTGTGCCTGCCAGTGAGACGATTTTAACAGCCAATAGCTGTCGGATGTATCACAGCAGCTGGGAGATCAGCAACAATCCAAACCGTTCACTACAAATGCAGCTGGTTTGTCTTTAAAGCGTGATTCTCCACCAGAGAAAAGCAGCAATACAGTACAAGAACACAACTCAGGGTCTCAAATCCAAAACCAGGAACATCTAAACAAATAGAAATGCACCAATACCCAAATGTAACATTCTACCCCTTGGGCAAATGTCTATCTGTGCACAAAACTTTAGAACATTTTAGAAAGTTGTGATGTAACTTTGTACGATATTGCTAACAAAATGATAAACAATGTGCCACATAGACAGAAAGTGCCGAAAGAATCGGCACCACGAATGATGCAACCGAGGGCTAACAAGAAGCCCGTGGCTAGCTAAAAACAGCACAGCTCAGCATGTCACCCTATGTCTACCAGGGGTGCAGTTGATAACTAACCTGATGATGGGAGAGTTAGCAAGCTAATGTTAGCTCAGTGTTAGCAAGCTACTGTAGTTAGTTAAGGCACTAGCATAGCTTTCTGAGCCATGTTCCACTACTGATACTGTCGAAATGATTCGGCGTAACTTACACAAATATAGTTAGCCGAAGAAAAGGGACATGTGAACTAAATGCCTGCTGCACACGCGTGTCAGGATGCCACCGTTTTCTCCATTCTTCCAGCTGATAGCTCACTTTTGTCTCTACAGCACCGTGTAAAACCCCAACGAGTCAATTTCAGTTCACTAATTAACATGTTATATCTCAACTGTTTCCTCTGTACACAAGCATTGTTTTAATACACATGTTGTCATTTCTCCAGGGGGGGGTTGTGTGCCAGACTTCAAAGCCAACTTCCTGAAGTCCTGTCTTCACAGTGAGGTTGCCAGGCAACCAGAGGAGATCCCAGCAAGTCACATGGCCAAATGATATTCACACATATGCCTCCAAAAAACACTGTTTTTTGTACGGATTAATCTAAAACATGTGGCTTTAGATGCGCTGGTAGGTGGATTGTGTTACCTTTGAGACAGAGCTAGGCCCCGTTGCTAGTCTTTATGCTAAGCTAAGCTAAGCGCCTGCTGGCTGTAGCTTTATATTTACCGATGGGATATCAAGCTTCATCAGTAAACTCTCAGCAAGAAAGCCAATAAGTGCATTTCCCAAAACGTCCCACTATCCCTTTAAGAACTTAAACGTTAGAATGCCTTTGTACAGACACTCAAGTTAGTGGAATAGGAGTACCGGTATTTGTAGTTCAACCTAAACCCCGGACACAAAACGGATCAGAGATATTCAGAATAAATCTCGTGGGCCTTCTATGTCTTTAGCAAACCAGGGATCAGGGAAACCCCCGATGAAGCTACATGTTGTGACCACTAAAGAAGAAGACTAGGCGATACATAGCTGAAGTGAAGTGTGACATTTTAAGAGTTCCGAGGGCGGAAGACGCCGGGGTCTTCTCCACTGGAGTGGAGCAAAAACCAAAAAAAGTCTAAGGAGAGGAGGTGTGGAGCAGAGAGACTGGCTTGTTTTGCAGAGAAAAAAAAAAAAAAAAAAAAAAAAAAGACAGAAAAAATTGGCCGGGGCCACCGTCCCCAGTGCCTTATAAGGCAGTGTTTCTCTCCAGCGAGCACATTGAAGCAGGGACTGCTGCTGCTTGCCTCAGAGCAATTCAACTGCACTCCGGAGACAGAGAGCAGGACACTCTGGCTTGACTATGGGGGGTGAAGACCGTCTGTCATGACACACGGGAGTTATCCCCACCTCCTTACAAGAGCTACACAAGAAAGGAAGAAGTTCCAGTGTGGAGAGGGGAGGGGGGGGGACAATAAGATAAGAGAAGGCTGAGGAAAGGGGAGACGAGAGATGCTGGATTAGAAGACGAGCGGTAAACATTAGGTGGGAAAGGAGCGGACAACGTAGGGGGACGGGGAAAGGGGAGTGGAAGGAATAAGCAACGTTATAAGCCAAACCAAACAAGTGCGTTGTATGAAATGTCATGGTCACCTAATGCTGTGTCAGGATCACACTGATATGAATGGGAAAGAGACACCCAGGGACTGCCCCCCCCCTCCAAAAGACGTGATCTGGAAGACATCATCAGGCTGAACACTTTGCTATAAGCATCCTATATCGGCTCACGGCTCGAGTGCCGAGCACGAAGTTATCTGGCAGTGCCAGGTCTGCAGCGGCATCAAAAGGCTCTGGAGCTGGAGCTACAGTTAAAATACCTGCAGTGTGTTTAACAAGCCCGAGGAGTGGGGGGGGGGGGGGCCTGTGCTGCAGGCTGAGAGGGGGGAGCAGAGGCAGAGGAAAATAGGAGATAAGGCTGGAAAAGTGAAAGGGGAAAAGCGCAGTCAATCGACAGGGGACTTTGAGCCCCATATATAGCTGCCGGACTTATTTACCCAGTGAGGTCATTTCCTTCAGGACAGCAGAAAAGGCGACTCGTGTAGTAACCCGCGATCGAGCGCCCGCAGTTTGTCTTTATCTCGAGAAATGCCCTCTCTTTTGCTTGCCCTTGACAATCGCTCCCTGGGCTCGCGGCTGCCAGCACTTCAGTCAGCGGCGGCGTGCTGCCAAATAATGATCACCATGGTTTGCACAAGGGGGAAGGTTGACTTCAGGTTACATTTGATTGAAGGCTGATAGAGGCCGTAATAGCGATGGACAGTTTATATGACCACGGTGTATGGCGCCATTAAAGCATCACGTGCGCTCTTGGAAGCAGGTTAGATGTAATGGTTCATCACAGATGACAACATTACGAGTACGACACAGTTTGTCCCAGCTTATTAAGGTCAGATTTCTTTACAGGAAGGTCAGCGAGTTTACTTGACAGATGCTGCAGATTCCTCGCTGTCAGCTTTCCGTATCCTCGGGGTAGTCCGCCCACTGCTCGCTGGCCAGCCCTGAATACATCAAGTCCACTGACAAGCACAGAGCCCACATTAATTGCTGAGTTTCTTTTACAAAGCAGATTCTTCTGCTCGTTGTTCTCATTGTTGCTGTGCCACAATAGCAGCAATAGCAGGGGGATGTGTGATTCATTATTTATCGAATATGAGCCTGTGAGCAACTATTAAGGCACTTAAAGTATGCATTGTTTTATTCCACCTGCGAAAAAAAAGACCCCGCGAGCATCTCTCTCTCTCGAAGTAAACGCCAGTATTCTGCTAAATGTTCAGAGTATTACACGTTAAGTCTCTCCACAGCAAAGTATCTTTTTTGCCAAATAATTATAACGTCATCCTCCAAAAAGAAAGCTCAAACTCCTGCTATTTGGAAAAGGGGAAAAACTATCTCCCTCTGCCTCAGTATCTGACGGGACAAATGCCGGGATCAGATCATCTCAGTAGAGGAAATATCAAATACCGATACCCTATTTTGAAGTTGTATAAAATACTGGTACTGGTCTATCCACAGCCCATCTTATGATGGTCAAAAACAAATGTTGAATTCTCAATCATGAGTTGTATAAAATACAGGTGAATCAATCCTACGAGTGTAAACACAGTGGACGACATGCACCGAGTCACTTCCCAGAAATGTATGTGGGAAGCAAGACAGAAATACATTTAAGTGGACTCAGTATGATTCACAACACGCTGTATGCCAATAGTGATCAGCAATACACGGGCTTCCATGGAACAGTCAGAGGTGGACCATCAGGACAGTTTACTGAGCTGACAGTCTACAGGCATGCAGTGACAGTTTAGTTTCACATATCTGATTGATTGATCATGCCAAAGATAGCATGCCCTGTTGTTGTTTTTTTTTGGGGGGGGGGGGGTTCTCTTGATGATTTAACAGTTCATATTTAGATAGGGATAAAACTGTAGCCTTAGTTGTGCCATGCTGGTTTCCAGAAGACCCTTCGATCAGAAAAATACAAACATTTTAAGATCCAAGAGTTTTGTATCAGTCCAAAGTCAAAGCAAAAAAACAAAACTGGGTGGACAGCATCTTTTTTTTTTTAAATCACCCATCAGTGCGGGAAGAGAAGAATAGGTGTCTGCTGGGCCCTACTGTAACCCAGAAACATTAGTCATCATAAACACACCAAGTGGGACATTCTCCATTGGTTAATCCTAATCTGTAGACACGCTTCACAGAGCCCCCAAACTGCCCCGTCTGCACTCAGTCTTAACTATTAATCAGGCCCATTTACAATAGAACCACCATTAGGCTTCTATTAGTGCAGGTTCTCCTTAAAACATAAAAGCGTATTATGGCAAGATTTAAGGTCAGAATTGAAAATGTGCAATTACATAACTGGTGGAGAAGATAAGAAAAAAAGAATAGAAGAGAATGTGCAGCATCACAGTCTGCATAATGTATCGACAATGCTAACAGTAGCAGGTTACAGTCTGGGAATTAAAAAGAAGCAAAAACGAGTGTAGACACGTCACGTGAGCAGCACAACGTTACCCAGGTGTGTGCATACGCGTCTAACGTGTCGGGCTACCATTAATAATGTACGAGGCGTGCATCCCACTTGACTCACCAGCAAACTTTCCAGGTTTATGGCAGACCGGGGTTCTCTGATCATGCCCTCCAGCTTCTTCAGCCGGGCTTCCATCCTCCTCTCCGCGCCGAGCGACATGGCTGCAGCCTCGGTCGTTAACAAAAAAAAAAGTTCAGTGAAACGTGAAGAGCTTCTTTTTTTTTTTATTCCAAAAACTGTGCGTGAGTTTACATGTGAAACCGCTTTGTTCCTGGCTAATGGCCGTGGGCCTAGCTGGAGCAGCCTCGGGGCTCTCAGCCCACCCAACTCGCTTCCAACAGGAGTAGCAGTGTGCACAATGAAGAGAAAAAATATTCCCAAAGAAAGCAGAGGCTCCCCGAGTCCCAAAGAAAGTCGCTACGGAGAGCGGGTCCCCTTCGGTTAGCTAGCCGTGTTGTCGTTCGGCTAACGGAGGAGAGTTACACTTGAATTAATCACCTCCCGTTGAGTGAAAGATGCATTTTTCCAACTCGCCGATAAAGTTTGAATGTGGAGATACCAGCAACAGGCAGCAGGGCGTTTTCTTTGGCCCCCCTCTCCTCCCCTTCAGGTTTTTTTTTTTTTGGGCCGCTTGGAAATGCTTTGGGACTCGCTCTTTTTGGAGTGAATTCCGCTTCGTTTTCACCCCATTCAGCAATGCTTGGAGCCTGTTAGCGTTGTAGTTTTCTCCTCAGCGCTGCCACAAGTCATCCGAACGGGCGATAATGTCTGTTCTCCCGCGCTGAATCTTTAATAAGCAGACGCTCTCTTCCTGGATTTCTTCTCGCATTTTCGGCTGTGTCCCTCTCCGTCTCTGTGCTCTTCTTCTCACACGCACACAAATAAGTAGTTGAACTCGTAGAGGAAAGTCCTCCTGCGGCGGAATTCTTCGCCGTGCGCTCACATCTACACACCAACACACACACACTGGCTGAGTCTGAAGTCTCTCTCCTCCCCCTGACGCGGACGCACTGAGGACTCGGCTACCCATAAGCCACCTGTCCCGCTGTCCTCCTGCACCTCTGTGACTGTCCCCTGCTTGTTTTTTACATTCAAGTTATTTGAAAACGAACCGCTAGCTAGTAAATAGACAAGCACGTGCTATAGCATCTTAAATATAACTTGATAGCAGACAGACACACATCTCTCTGATTGGCTGTTACTCCTACAAGTTTTCGACAACTATATTTTTCAAAATAAAGTTCATTTCAGTGTATCAAGTGCAGCCTAAGAAGCTTTTTAAAGTTTTAGATCATCTGCCCCTGGTTATTTTTTGTTGTTACTATTAAGGATCATCTGACAAAATAATGATTAATTAGGCGAAAATCAAAATGAACCTCATGATCTCAATTATCTCAGAATATGAGATATACTAGAGAGAGAGACAGACAGACAGACATTCTTCCTTGTCTTATAATTGTAATAAATGAATGCATCATAATAAAGTGTGGGCGTTTGGGGTGGTCAGACATTTAATATATTCTATTTCACACAAAAGACGGAGCAGTCTGACCGCAGATGCAGCTTCATGGTCGTAGCTCTGTTATAATAAAGTGTTTGCATCTACAGCAATAACTGTTTTGCAGCTGTTTTCTTTGACGCAGCGCACCAGTCATTCGACTTTGGAGCCATTTCCTTTTGCCGTTAAATACACAACTGGAATGGGTGCTCGCTCTTTTCCTGGGGGGACAAACAAAATAAATCCCATATCACCAAACAGGAAGCGATGCATTTGACATTTTCTATATTTGGAATAATAAGTTAGTTTGCACGAGGAGCAACTAAGACACAGCGGTGGAACCGACCCAACACACGAGCGCCACCTAGAGAGACTTTAATAAGAGAAAGAAATCCAAGGAAGCGGTTTGTTTGACAGGTGATGTCTGGGAAATGTGTGAAACAACACTATTCCATATTAAACTCATATTGCCTCTTGGTGAGCATTATTTAATATTGACTCAGTTTGGCCAACAAAACATGCTACTGAGCAATTCCAATACATATTTATCTTCTTTTATTTGATTATCTTTAGAGGAGAATAAAAATAGGATGTAGACAGGCTTTTGTAAAGAGTGACCCATGGCCTATATATATATATATATATATATATATATATATATATATATATATACATATATATCTCTATATACTGTATCTGAAGCTCCCATGAGCTTTGATCAGCTGTAGCACTCGACAGTTGAATAAACTGCTGATTCCACATCGGTCTCCATTCTGCAAAAAACAAATCTATTTCACGCAAAAAGCCATTTTGTTGGGTATTTAGCCATCCTTTTTGTGTTAAAGTGTGTAAATAATGTGCAACAGGGACACTACTGGGAAAGTGATTGCCACTAATATAATACCAATCACTACTTACCTTACCTGACTAACTTTAATGACAAAGGACATTGACCATATACGAGGCTTGACTTGTGTTTGAAATCACGCCACAGAGTAAATTGAATGGTTTCAATGTGCTCGTAGTTTGTAGTTTGTGCTCATGTCTGACAAAATCCTCATTATTTCCCACACCGGCAATTAGTCTTCATTTGCTAGACCAGTCAGTTTGAATCGGAACACGTTGTAATGTATGGATTTGACTGGCTCAATCCCCAATTTCTGTGCACTAGTGATGTTGCTCATACACTTGTCTATACACACACACCTTTTTCATGTTTTCTAGGCTTTTTTACACAGCAGACATTTTGACTTGTTGTGGTAGGAAAAGCACAGGCGTTGCTAATAACACTAACGGTGGCTCCGTTCTGTTTAAGTGTCCCAGTAACTTTGAGAGTCAGCATGAACAATATACCAGGACCCTGAAACAGAAGCAGCCATCTTTATTTTATTATTTACATGTGCTTTTACTACCGTGACGTGTCAAAATGTCTCCTGTGGAAAAAGGCCTGTTGATGTATTATTATTGTGAATTATTTTTGAAATGTAGAGACATTTTTGTACTGAATGACAAATATGACTTTTTATAAACTTAAATTGCATTGTTTGTTCAATGACAACACCCAGGGCAATGATTTAACTTCAGGACTTTATTTTTTTGGCCTGGTGTGCTGTTTTTTTTTTTTTTTTTTTTTAAGAATAGGTTATATTGTAATGTTGTCAATAAATCAATAAAATATAGTGTAAGATCATGTACACCTAATATAATAACCTCATGGTTCAGTGGCGAGCAGTGATGCAGTGCAATAATCTTCAAAAATACATTGGGGTTCTTTTGTCCCTTGCACACAATTGTGAAATATTAATAGTTGAATCAACTCAATAGAGTCTCATTTTAAAAGAAAATGATCATTGTAGACTTCACACGTTTGTTTTTGTCCTCCACAAAGCTGCTGCACAGGAAGCATTTCATTGTGAACCCATTAAATTGTGTTTCCCCACAGAGGAAATCAAGCCTCGTCCCATTACTTGAGTGGGCCAATGCTTAACAGCAGCCATGAGATGGAGCTAGAGACCCTTGAAATCCACATTTCTCATCTGCAGAGAAGAGTCACACATCGCTCCAGCACTTCATAACAAATGAGATTGTGTTGTTTCTGATATGTCAGAAATAATGTCCAAACTGTCACCGTATCATCCTGAGCTGGTGAGCAAACATTGTCATATATATATATATATATATCATTGCTTAGTGAATAAACTGAGCTCATTATTTAGTGCTGTTTTTTTTTATTTTCAATCCACTCCATCTTAGCCATCAACATTTAGATGGTATAGCCAAAGCCGAGTTATGAATGATTCAATATTCTAAAATGTATAATCACTCATGCATTCATTATCAATAACATTTTAGGGCTGTTAGCGTGGGTGTATTTGACTGGTAGGTGCTATGGCCTTGTTTTGTAGGAGTTGGCTCTTGTTTGCATACCATACTTTACTCTAATTAATTGTTCTCGTATGCACTGAATGACTCATATTTTGCTTTCATTTACATATGGATTACTGTAAACTATAGTATATCTGAAGTAAAACGAGTTTTTAATGTATTTTTTTACTTTTCCTTAAAGGTATCAACATTTTGACTTTACAACGTGACACCTCTGGCTGCCACGTGATTTTGTGGGATGGCGTAAAAATAGCATGCCACTTCTAAAGGACACTTCACGTGCAAGTTGTGAAGGGATGTATCGAGTCAAGAGCTCCCCCAAAAAAATGATGCCAAAAGAGAGAGACGTTAGTTTTATCTCTTCCAGTGCAAAGAAGCTGATGCATGGATCCCTCGTACATGTACAAAGAGTAAGCAGACATGATCCATCTGACACAGAGTTGTGTGTGCCTCTTATTTATTTGTCTTCATGAGCAATTCACTGGATAAAACAAATACTGTTACAACACAAACAAAAAAAAGAAATTCCAAAGCAAATTTGGCCACATGTTATGTACATGTTACAACGTCATAATAAAAAGACAGGAGATCATCTCCTCATGTCGCTGTTTTCTCCATTTTTAATAATTAAAAAAAGCTTTTCACTGTTCACCGGGCATTTACATCGGAATCCAATGCTCAGGTCGAACCACCTTCACTTTTGTTTTGTCTTTTTTTTTTTTTTTATTATTTGCAAATGCAAAAAACTTGTCAACAATAAATAATACTATAAAATGTACACAAAAAGATTGACAGTCCACCACAAGTCAAAACGTTAAACAGATCGGATGTTTGGGAACGAGGAAGTTGGGAGGAGGGTTTCCTTCTTAGCAAAAATGTGACGGTCCATACGAGTTACAGAAAAAGCTGATCATCTATACATTGACACTAGCGAGATAACAAAGTCGTTGTTTTCTGGTATATTTCATTTTGTACAAAGAAGGGAGAGTCTTCTTTACAAGCGAGCGTCACTGTCTTAGCTGTAGAGATTATACAAGCAAGAGTTAAGGCAACTTCTCTGTTGTTTCTGAAAGGTATGACATGGAGTCACGTCGTGTTTCGTTTTGTCAGCGGACCACTCGTCTACATTGGGGTTGGAGTTAGTTGTCATTGCATAATTCAGGCTGTTGACCAGGCCTGCAGTCCTTCATGCTGGGAGATTCGTCACAAGGCTGATTCAGTGTGGTCCAGGATTTCCACGTGAGAGTTAGGCTCTCATGTCTCCGAAATCTGTCTCAGACCTTGACGGTGGAGCCGTTTTGCAGATTAGGGTGCACGTTGTTTTGTCTGGTGTGTGTCTGAATGTGTGTGTCACGGTGTCAAGCAGGAGGAAAAAGCAGAAGTAACAGCAGATTTTGGGTGAGTTCCTCAGCACACATCAAGCCCGCTTCATAATTCAAGATCATGACTCGGGGAGATCGGCCTTTTGTCGCACTAAATTTGTAAGTTCAGCCTCATGGTGGTATAAGAAGAAGAGTCAAGAAAAGGGCACCAAAACAATTAAATATAATGAAGGAATATAATATAAAGGAAGAATCAGCATTTTGGGACAGTCACTTATGAAGCTGCAGCCGGTTAGTTTAGCTTAACTGAGCCTAAAGACTGGAAACAAACAAGATTATAGTGTGTTCATTATTTATCTTTAGAAGTGCTGGTAGGCATATTTTCCCCTTTTCTAACCTTTTCATTTTTAACCTTTGGACAGAGCCAGGCTAGCTTTTTCCCCCCTGTTTCCAGTTTTTATGCTAAGCTAACCAACAGCTGGCAGAGTGGGAACAAACCTTTCACTCTCAGAAAGAAAGCAGTTCAGTCCTACTTCACAAAATGTTGAACTATTCCTTCAATTGAAATCTGGCCATTAACTTCAGATATTTTGTGTAGAAAGTGGATATTTTGTCCTGAGGGTGGCGCTAGAGGACAGCTCATGGATAGTCCAAATGGGAAAAGTGCTCATCCTCTGATTTACGTCATTGTGCTCGATACATTTTAGTGCAATGTGCCCACAAAGCCATCATCCATCTCCACCGCTAGCGGACAAAACAAAAAAAACAGTCCACGTGTCTTATAGCATCATCACCTTTCTTTTCCCTTTACAAGGTCAGTCTTCCTGTTTATTTTTAAAATGCTAGCAGTGCAGTGTATGCTAAGGGGTAGCTTGGAGCAGCAAACAAAGGGGCATTTTGAAAACTTTGGCCTCCTCACCCAACATGATAGTCTTCCACCTCATCCACCTTCTTTTTAACTACATGGTTCAGGCCCGCACACTAATAAATGGCCTACCTCAGACAAAGGACAGGGCTGTGTCAGTGGCTGCCATTGAGGAGCTCATGGCCTCTGTATGTTTTTGCATCCTGGGGGGGGGCACTTTACATTCTCAAAACAGTGGGTGTTTTATAAGTTTGATAACACATATCATTTACAGAAAGTATATCTCAATAGACAACTGAATAAATAAATAAATATAAAAGCATTAGACATTTTGGCTTCTGGTTTAAATGGTCACGGGTGTGTTGGCGGGGGGGGGGGGGGGGGGGGGG